AGGAAAGGAAAGGAAAGGAAAGGAAAGGAAAGGAAAGGAAAGGAAAGGAAAGGAAAGGAAAGGAAAGGAAAGGAAAGGAAAGGAAAGGAAAGGAAGGAAAGGAAAGGAAAGGAAAGGAGGAGTGAGGCGGCGCTCCCGGCGCTCTGGCGCCCCCTGGCGCTGCCCCGCCGGTCGGAAGCTGCGCTGGACAGCCTCGGCTGCGAGCCCCCGCCGAGCACAGCCTGACACGAGCACAAAACCCAAACCTGTCAGATCAGATGAGGCTGGAGAAAAGCTGAAGAATGGAGGCTAACACATGGAAAACATATGCCTGTGAGCCCCTTTGATACGAGTATCAGCAGCCTTCTGTCTCACTGAGAATTACACTGGAAATACATACCCGTATTTGTCTGCTCATGTGTGATTTCTACACACACAGACAGACACACACAGCTAAAAATTGAAATGATGGAGCAAAAAAGCTTTCTGTAATTAAAGGACCATTCCCTTCTATATTTGTATTATATCTTTGTACAATTCTGAACAGTACAGTATCATTTGCTCTGTTCTGTATAAAAAATATTCATTAGAACATGTTGTAAAGTAACAACCTAGCTTCTGGTTAATGAATATAGAACATATGTCAGCAAAATTTGTGCCCACTGAAAGCCATAGATACTTTTCTTTCCTCAATTTTAACTCATTTTACAACGAGCTGCTAAATGATGTGCATCCTCTGTTTATAGATCAGAACACCTGGCAGATCAATACCCAGCCTGAAACTGTCTGTGCAGGTCTCCAGTACCCCTTCTGTAAATAAATTAAATTCTCTATACAGCCATACCGACAGAAATTCCACAAGGCAATTCTTCCGTGCCAAGGGATTGTCTCTGCAGACTTCTAGTTTGCCAATGGGACAATACAGGGCATACTTCAGAGGGAGACTTGCGAAACAAAATTAAAATTACCAGAAAGGTTTCTTGTGACCAGAATGATCAAATAACTAAACAATTTGAGTTCACCAAACTGAGATTTACAAACTGAAGGCATACTATTGGAAAAAGAAAACAAAAGAAGTGCAGTTTTGTAGTGTCAGAGATTGTGTGTCTTTTAATGGCAACTTCTCATAGTTTAAAGTATCATTCCTGGAGTAGATATTAAGTGCAGTTAAACCAAGGTATTCTTTATTTGAAACACTCAATTGGTTCCTCTTAATATGCTATGCCCTACATGTTCCCTTATATTATAGTTGAAAGAAGACTGTTTGGGAAATAAACAACTGATTACCAGTCTGAAAAATGGCCACACAAATCTTATGCTATCTTATGACAGTTGGGAACCATCAGCTGCAAATATGAAACAGAGGTCCCTGCAAACAGTTTAATGTCCTTGAAAATTCTGTGTTTAACAAAAAAAAATTGTTTTCCTTTTTTTTTTTTGTTTGTTTGTTTGGGTTTTTTTGTTTGTTTGTTTGTTTGGGGGTTTTTTTGTTACTAGGGAGGAAATGGAATGAAACTTTGAAGAAAATAGCCATCAATCACATGGAAAATGGTCTCTTTTCATTGCTGTATTTAAGACATGCAAGAAGCTGCCAACTAATCTCTAGCACTCTGATTTTCTAGGCATACTCTACATTTTAGAACAATGTATATTTGCAAGAATGATTCTTTAATTATCTTTTCAGGTCCATCTCCTTTAAGATTTGTTGCTGCCAGCTAATTTAGCCAATGCTGACAAAGGAGAGATTAAACCTCATAATTAAATGTGGTAATTTTTGCCAGCACAAGTCTGCAATCTTCATTTACTACCTTCAATTTTAAGCAGTAATTCTACTTAAGCCGAAAGCAGCCTCAGGGTGTCAGTAGAATATAGCTATATACATCCAAAGTACCCACTTAGACTCCTGCTCACAGGCTCAGATCTGGTTATCAGAACAGAGGCCACACCATCAAAGTTTCATTAAAGCCATTATATTTCCATGAAATTTACCCACTGACAGACTTGCAGACAGAGTTAATACCCTTTCTAAGCTCCAGTGCTTGTTAATCTTAGTGCAGAAGCTTTCATTTAAGCATCTACCTTTAAGGCTGGTGTGAGGGCAGGCTGAAGAAGGTGTACTAGACAATCTCTTCACCTTTAATTTCAAAGACTCCAGTGTCTGACAAAAACAAACCCCCACTGTGCTCAGAGAATTCAGTCTCCCCCAAGAGCAGGACCTATACCCTTTCTTACCATGCCTCTACTGAGACAAATTTAACAAAGTAAAAATCCATTTAAATTTAGATGAAATGTGCCACTTTAAGCTTACTTAATATGCTGTTTAGTCTAGTTAACAGCAGCCCTAGCAAAACTACCCCAGCTAAAGAAAAAAAAATGCAAATTTCCACACTAAAAAAAAAAGAAATAAAGACTCCTCAGACCTTAAAACAGACAGGGGAAAGTAACCCAGGAATTCTTTCTGTACTTTCTAACAAAAACTGAGTACAAGTGTAACTAGCTGTAAATATAATATAAAATCAGCAAAATAAATATGCATTAACCTATTGTAAAATTCTATGCATATAAAAATTAGTAAAAGTAATAAAAAAGGATCGACAGTTCTCAGAGGTACGCATGTCCATTAAAGGGCAATGAGTCCCAACATGTGTCCACAATGCTGTACATACCCATTCCCTGCAAATCTTTATTAGAATTGTAGAATTTAATTTTTCATCCACATTTCACTACAAGGCCTGTGGTGTTTTTCCTCAAGCTACATCCTACCGTGCATCTCCTGTTAGCCTCCCCATAAGGACACTCTTCAATTTCTCTCTAACAGAGAGGAAACCTCCTGCTTTTAGCAAATTTACTTCCAACTGTTAAAGGCCAGTCAAATAGACAAGAAAGGAAGAATCTTTTCTCCCCCTTAACCTTGTAACATACCCAATGAAAAGCTTCCTTTCTTCCTATGGCTACATAAATCTTTGTGAATAAGTCCTAAATTGTGGTGGTTCTGATTTGATGATGGTCTTTGCTCAGTGTATTTATGCTTGGTTAAAATGAAAAACAGCAAAGAGGAAATTAATGGAATTTTAAACTATTTTCATTCCACATGATATTACAGAGCTGGTCTGCTGAAACTGAAGCAAAGATGAGAAATACCATGCCTAGCTGCTACAGATGTGATGCTGGGTTCAAGAAACACTGTACTGACAATATTCACATTTTTATTGATCTTTTTCTATTTTTACTGACAGAAATTAAAAAAATTCACAATCCTTAGTTTTAAAACTTAGTTTTAAGTTGGTTTTATTTATTTCCACATGATCATTCATGAAGTGACAGCCATTAAGAATGAAAAACATAAGATCAGGCCCATATATCCAAAAATTAAAACGGCACAGGTTATATGAAAAGCTATACATTTTCTTTGAAAAAAAGTTTGAATTTTTAGTCAATTGTGAAATAGGCAATGGTAGAGTCAAAACTGGATTATGAAATACACTGACTATGAAAATTAAATACAAAATTGGTCATAGTTCTTGAATGTCACTATCAACATTACTTGTATAAAAATCAGGCCATTATGGTATACAAAACCTTATTTATACATTGAAACAATTGTTATCTTGCTTGATAAGGAATATAGAAATAAAAGCTGATGCTGGAAATTTAACTTAAGATGTAGTAGTTTTCCAAAATATTACAATGAAAATGGCAGGTACATGTTTTTTTTTAAATAAATTTGCTAAAACTTCTTGCCAATTTAGATATGTAGAGAGCATAGAAAGAGCACATTCAAAAGTCAGCATTACACTTCTTTTTATATTTTTTTCTGCTGGTTCTGAAATTTTTCAAGAAGCAGTTGAATAAAAGCTGACAAACACTCAGCTTAATCCTTTTCCTGAAAACCCAGTTCTTAGGATCTTCTTCCTCAAGCTGGAGCACTATAAATGCTGACATTTCATAATAAAATTTAGTAACTGTATTATAGAAATGTCTAATAAAGTTTTAAGACTGAACTGTCCAAGTCAAGATGAAAGTTACTTATGATTACAGTGATACATTATTTCACATAATTGCAAAGAGAGATATATTTCTATTTTCATATGTTAATGGAAATACGGATAATTGGTTCTCCGAATTTTCATTGAAACGGATTTAATTTTGACTGGTTTTTTGTTCATTGTCCATGTATCCCAGTGAATGCCAGTTGCAAGGAATCTACCTGTGTAGCGATGAACACCATTAAGATTGGCAAGGCCACACTTGTTGAACCACCATCCGGTGTTATCACTGAAGTTACTACAGCTCTTTACTGGCTGTCCTTTAATAGTGCACATTGGCCTGCATCCATCATTATCAGCATCAAAAGTGCTGAAAGGCATGGAATTTTGGTTATCTTCTCTTCTATATCCTCTAAATGCATCACCTAAGTACAAGAGATAAAACAGAACAATAAGAATGTTATTTACAGAGAAATGTTTCTTACTTGATGCACACTGTGCAAACTTTTCCTCTGTATTTATTAGAAAAGTAGAATTCTTTAAAAGTGCTTCAAGAGCACCAGCTAATGAGCTGCAAAAGCTGAAGATGCAGGAAAGAAAATAATTAAATCCTTAGAAATATGTAAGAAGTTGAAATTCAACAAAATGTCTGTATTTTTGTTGCTTTTAGCAATGCATGCTGGCTATGAAGGTAAAGGCTTCTGTTCTCAAAGACAGACGAAGAAAGGAGAAAAGTAAACAAAAAGGGTTGAAACTTCAGATTTTCCAGTAACATGCCCAAAGCCCCAGAGTGAGTCATGACACAAGATGGAATTGTTAAAACACAAAAAGGTCAGTTATTATTGTCTCTGTTGTCTTACTAAAGAACTTACTGAAGAAATAGTATTTTTCACAAATACAGAGCAGAGCACCAACACCTTTAGAAAGTAACTATGTAATTGATAGTAAAGACCATTCTTGCATAACATGGAAAAAAGCAGTAAGACATGATGCAATGCTTAATGCAAGTCTTTGCACATTGAGTATATTTATTGTATTAAGGGAGGTCTGGAATTAATTTGTATTTATGCATTACCCAGCAACTATTATACACTGTAGGCCAGCTTTGTTCCACTCAGTTGCTTCCTCAATCTTTTGTACATGACTATCTGGGCACTTCGGAATTATCCAAAGCATTCATCAAGAAGACTACCAATAACATCTGTTATGAAATAATGGGCATCTAAATAATTGTACATTAGGTAAATAAACACTAACACCCACAAAATCCCTTATTTATTTTTTATATAACCCATTCCATTTTTTTTTATTACAGGCATAACTGTAATAATATATATAATTAATTTAATTAATGATGCATCTAATTAAAAAAATATCTGCATAAATGTTCATTATATACCAGAGAAAAACATATTAGAAATAAAATTTTTGAAGATAATTATTATTATTTTGGATTAATTTTTTTCATATTAAGAAAAGGAACAACTACCTTTAAACACTTCAAAGAAGGAAGTTCTTACCAGCATTTCCTGAATAATGCCCCAAATGGATCTTAAAATAACATGCTTCATCCTCTATCCAAAATCCATCATATGATGCATAGGCATGCTTGTCATTTTCTGATTCCAAATCCACATAAAGACTGAAATGAGTGGCCTTTTGATTTACAATGTCAAAAATCTTCCTCAGTCCAAGCCAAAATTCTCCTTGAAGAGAAATATAATATGTAGTCTAGAAATGGAAACTGTAAAAGAAAAAGTGATTGTTCCTGTTTTTTAACTTTCCTTCCTGAACCAAATGTAATTACAGTTGCATGATATGCTTATATTCCTTTGAAAGACTAATGAAGGAACAGAGTAATCTTCCTATTTCCTTAGGAAATCCCTAAGAAAACCCATGTGCGCATCATCCTTTTTTATTCTGTGATATATTTTAGAAAATTGTCCAGATGATAGATTTCAAATATTCATCTGTAATATATCTTAGAAGACCACAAAAACTGGACGTGCTAAAGATCCACTTACATGAACAGAACTCAGTAGCACTCCTAAGGGCAATACTGAGAAATTATAAATGTTAGCACTCTATGAAATGCAAAAAACATGCAAACCCTATTCTCAAAACTTAAGTCCTGTTGTCAAGATTTGCTGCCTCCATAAATCACACTTGCAGCCTCACATGAGCTGCACTTCTTTGTACAGAAAAGCTGTGTGCTTCCATTGCAATTTCAGATAAACATCTGAAAAAGCAAATGGGTTTAGATTTATGGGATTATAGGTGGCAATAAAAAATTAATATCTCAGTTGTGTTTGTATAAGCTACTAAAACATTTCCATTGTTAATAACTTTGCATCCCTATGGTGAAATATTATTGATTTCACTCTGCTCTAAGGAAATATTTTGCAAAAGTGATTCAAACCAACAAAGGCGCTTTTTCTTTAAATCTGAAAAGAGAGGAAATACAATCTATTATTTCAAGCAGAAAATATAATATTTTAAACACTCTTGCAAGACTGCAATAGCTAAAGACTCTAGTGGGGCAATAGTCATTATTGAGAAGATCACACAACAGATGTGATGAGAAAATCCTTAAGTAAAAATAAGATTTTTAAGAAACAAGAACTTCATTCTGCTAAAACTACCATTCAATTTAGTGGAACGTAGCTCACATAAAAGCATTTTAGAGTATTTAAAATTAATACCAGTAAGGTCACCAAATCCATCCAGATATTCAGACCATGTTCTCTGAAACGGAACAATTCCATCAGTTCTTTTCTGAACCACAGTCCATCCACCTCCTCGAAAATCCATGTCACATAAAACCTAAAATAGATATAGATATGATTAAGCATTCTTGAAGCAGCTTTTATGAAAAACACAATCTAATTAAATAAAGGTGGACTATTCAGAGTTTTGCTAAGTGACATAATTTTCAAATATCTTTTAAAAAATCTCTAAGAAAAAAAAATTAAGCTGCAGTACTTTCTTATATGTTTTTGTTGAACTGTTTGATTTGGATATTTCTTCAACCAGTAGAAACTGCTGTAAGAGTCTGCTCATAACAGATACAATAAATACGCTTTGATAAATGTCACTGTAACATTTATAGCATGAAAGAGAAGCAACTTGCAATGTCATGTCAACTTGCAACATATCATCCATACAGGTAGCAACACTGAAAAACTTTTATTTCAGCAAAGCAAAATAGACACAACTGCTTATATGTTCTCTGTCACCACCATGCCTTCTTCCAGAGAATACTGTGTTTATGGTGCCTGAGAAATTTAGAGCCTTTAATAAGGGTGAGGAAATGGAAAACAGTGATAGCAATAACCCAGCATATAACAATAATTTGCAGCAGCAAAAACCTCTACATAAGAAGTGGCCCCAATCCAGGGAAGTCCCAATGTGAACATATAACTGCCTGAAACCACTGAATGCATAAGATCAACTCTCAAATTTATGAGTCTTTATGAGTCTTTGCTAAAATTTGTGCCCAGCAGTATGTCAAATGGCAGTGGTCCACCTGCCATCTGCTCTGCTTTGGAATATCACATTGTGTGGCATGTTTTCTCCTCAGCCCATCCAACTTAAGATTTGTAATTGACTTTCCTAAGTATATCCACAGTGCCAAATCTTGATCAGTTCAAACTGGGATTGTAAAGTCTGGGAATCTAATTTAGAAAGATCATATTGCAGAGTTATACACTGTACTACATAACATATTCAATGTAGTTCTAAGGGATAGTATCCATAATTAGTGTTTGAAAATGGACTCATTTTTGTCTCCAAAGGTGACTAACATGAGGAGAATTAACCTGCAAAATGCTTATAGATAGTGAGCCAGTAAGCTTCTTGTGGTAACATAAGTAAGTTCAGAATGTAATGTTGGCTATGATAACACTAATCCAATGCACAAGTGATGGAGTAAAGTAAGAAATTGTTTTGACATTATAGGAAATGTACAAAATTAAACATGTCTCAGAGAGATATTTGCAGTCTTAGCCAGCTGATTAAAGTGGAAACTAGATGTAAGTCAGTTTAACCCTCAAAAAAAAATTGTGGCAGACTGAGCATTATATGTTGCACTTCCATGGCCTGTAGCAGCCATATTTTTCAGGAAACCAGACTTGCTCCTTAGCAGGAAAACACCAACATCGTAGTCAGAGCCTCTGTGATTTAACAATGTCTTCTGAATGAATGACAAGAAAGCAACAGGACAGAGCTGCAATTTGATCTAATACAGCCTGAGGGATCCTGGACCATCAAGTAAGATACTTCAGGCAATTCTTGCAAAACAAACACTAAATTAATCATACTAAGAGTATTGTGCATGAAAAAAAATTGTGACCTTTATTCCCTGGAGAATCACATGCTTATTTCAGTTACCCAAGGAGGACAGGACTGGAATAAAAAGAAATACAGGAGATTCCAAAATTAATATTTAGAGGAAAATACCTAAACCTCATCAAAAATAATCCTATTGCCTCATTCACTGTCTTGAGAAGACAATTGCATGCTTGGCTACTCCTCTGACTATGACTCAGAAATACTATGAAGAGGAGCCCACTTGGTCACAACATCAACCTTCAGTCCAACATAAATCAGTGTGAGTGTTGATAATTCACAGAAGGAACAGATATGATTCTACATGAAAGGTCATCAGCCAGTTAGATAAAGCCCCAATACATACACAAGCTAAATAAAAATATTAGATAGATACAGAAAAATACAGTTATAGCTGTGTAGTTTTCTTAATGCTTTATGAAAATGTTGCAATTGTAAAGCTTTATAATAGTTAATCTGCTTTACTGTTTGCTCTATCTCATATCATGAAAGGTATGAAGGGCATGATTGTACCAGGTACGACCTAAATTAAATGAGGAGGACACTTCTACTGGATATTTCTTCCCTTTCCACCCGCAGTGTGTATGAGAGGTATATTCTAAGGAACTGTTTAGATTGTCTGATCCACCTGAGAAATATCATTGATCTAAATTTATTGACTGAAAAATGTATCAGAAATTGGTCATGGTTCATCTTTCCAAAAGTAAAATTGATTTTAATCACTTCATGAATAAATGCTCAGGAGAAAGCCTATTTGAGAGTAACTTTCAGAGATGATAGAAACCTGCCACTATCACTAAAGCTAGGTATTCTTATTGCTCCTGGAATCTGGAGTTCAATTAGCCCAAGTTAAGCATCAAAATCTATACTTACTTTTGGAAACATGATGTATCAAACATGAAAAATAAGAATAGGATCACATTTTCTAAATAGTTTTTATTTCATTGATCTCTTTATGCATATTATTCTAAACATATTTTCATTTAGGTTCCATTGCATAAAAAATCATCTTATTGCTGCAAAGGTCCTCAATGAAACAAATTGTTTCATGTTCGGTTTGTTTCCTGTTTTCTAGTTTCTTACTATGATTTTCTGCCTCTGTAGTTTTTCTTATTTTGCTGGTCTGCAGGACATTTAGAACTCAGCTATTAGCCTCCAAAAGATGCTTTATAATTTCTTGTTTATATACTAATGTCTTGATATTTTTGTCTATCATTTCTCTTGTACTCCTTTTATGCTTCAGCACATGAAAGAATTCACATTAAATAGTTTTCCATAAAATAACATTCTTTATGGAACACATATTTTAGAAATTTTTTCTCTGAGAGCTTTTTGGCACTGTCTTTCAAGTTCTGTGCAACATTTACCAGACAAGAAATGAGACACTCATGATTGCTAACATTCTTCTCAATATTTATTGTTACCTTGTTCTTTTAATCAAATTGCTATGATTTTTCTTTTGTATTTCTGGAATCACCTTAAATCCAGAAGAAATTCTGAAATAGATGCATTTTTTCCTATGGTAGCATTTCTTCATACTAAAAATATGGTTGTTCTGTGAACACTGCAATGTCTTTGCTTTTCTTTTACGTGGAAGGGACTTAATGATGAATTACAGATAAGTTTCCTGAGCTCACTGAATTTTATGGAGAGAATGACAGGGTTTTATATCAAAGGTTGTAGAATCAAGTTCATTTTTTTCTTTTGGGATGCCAGCATAATTCTGAAACCTTTTCTTAACCAGTTTAAGCTCCTTTTTCTAGCATTTTGAAGGGCTCCACTTGGCCAGAAATAAAGAGATTCATCCTTCCTTTGTTACACATAAAGGAACACTATAAAGTTAGATATTAAACTTTGCTAGTTATTATTTGGCTGAAATTCCTTGTTTTTTCTTCAAAAAATAATGACTTCAACCTGTATGGCAAAGTTGAAGGTTTGAAAATGCCATATCTACATTTCCACTATGCATAAGGCCTTCTCTAAATAGATCAACATGAAATAGAAATAAAAACATTAAAAAATATTCCTTGCGTTTGCAAGGATCTTAATATTCTGAGTCTGAGGAAATTAACTCAAATTTCCCTTCTTCTATATGAGCACTATAAATCGGAGCAATTACATAAAGCATAGGCAGTGATAAGAAGCATGTTTGCTGCAGTTTATTTTAGGGATATATATCCTTGTTTTAGGAATATAAATCCTGCAAACTGGATAGGAAAACCACAATTTTAGATGCCTCTGTGCCTCAAGACTGGATTATAATGATACTCAGACAAGGTTTCTACTCCTCAAACCAAGGCACATCTGCACCTACACCTGGATGAATCTGCATCAGCAGAGTCCCATCACAAGACAAGGCAATATTACACAGCAGAATCACTCAAAATCTAAAAGTCCCATCTTAAAAGACAAATGGATCAGTCACTCGCTCTTCAGTTTTCCATCTCTAAAAGAGAAAAGAACAGCTTATCTCCATATCCAAGAGGTGCTGGAAAACACCTTGGGTTTTCTTCTGGTATTTTTCACTGCATATGAAAACAATGACAATGGGTTCTTATGACAGAGATTAAATTTCTTTGTAGAAAATACAAAACTTGTCAAAATTATAGTAAAAGCACTCATGTGCATATGATTCAATACATTTTTTATTCATCTGTTGAGGATGAATGGAAAACATTTTAAGTCTATTAAAAATATACAAAATGTATATTCTCAATCAAATTATGACTATAATAATAAATGCATTACCTCAAAAGGATAATTTGATCCTTCTGGATGGATAATGTACAGACCACTTGGAGTTTTTGAAACTGAACCAACAGTATCTTTAATATGAGTGCAGTCCAAACCTACAGAAAAAAGGTACTCAAGGAAGTTCATGAGCAAAATATTTTTTAAAAAAACAGATTAATACAGGAAAATTACTTTTTTGGTGGCATGAATTATTTAAAATATAATTTTCTTCTCATGAAAACATTAAAATCATGCTTTGTCATGAATTTATCTTGCGAATTAAAATTCTCTAAACACCATCCCACTTCTAAGTTATTACAAATAACACTGTATTGATGCAGTTCTTTCTAATCTTAATAGATATGATACATACCTACATGAAATTAAAGATTATGTATCTGAGTAAATTTACAGATTTTTTTTCATTTTATTTATAACACCCGTACTGTGAAAAAGACATATTATCTGAGAAAATAAGTCTTTTTTCTACAGATATTTATACTTGTAAAGGCCTTTCCATCTTAAAGTACATATGAAAAATATACCATTTGAAGAAGGATACTGCAGATGCAGAGCACACCATATTTCATTGCAAAAGAATGTACTATTTAACAGCCTCAGATCACTTACTAGCTAAAAATCATACTTGGTGTTTTACATAAAAATCAGCATGCTAAATGGGATGCCCAGAGTTCTCAATTGCAAATGATTTAAAGCAGTATTTATGATAACACTTTTAAACAGTTTATTAAGTTTATAGAGTTTATATGTCACTAACACAGGACAAGTGTCAATGTACAATTGCTTACCTTTGCTTTAATTAGCTCCTTTGCAAGATACAAAGATGAAAAGGGAAGGTGTCAAGACTACATCTGAAAAATACTTACCATGAGATTGAACTGCTTTATAAGGAAGTGGATCCAGATGTTTTCTCAGAATTACGGTGTTCAAAAGAAGAAGTTTGTTCATAAGTTCATTTACCTGCAAATTCAAATAAAAGATCTTTAATTAGTTTGCAATGAGAAATTTTACATTTTAAAGATTTTTCTGACTCCTAGTAAACATAATGTGAAGTTAAGTTTTGTGATGTGTAGTAATTTGTACCAATGTGAAGGAATGGTCCTCCACTTTCCCTACTGCAATGTATGACACTAAGGTGTGAAATGGGGTGCTTACCACTCCTCACAGAAATGGAAGCCACACTCTACCACAGCTACAAGGACTGGTGATAAGACACTCTAATTCTGGTGAATTAATGACAATTCAATGGTTTAATGACCCCTATTTTTCCTCAGAAAGATAACACCTGCTGTAAAAAATAACAAATACAAATCTTTATAATAAAGGAAAAAAGTACCTGATTAGAAAGGTAATCTAGCGAAGACTGTTGATCATCCATCATGTCTCTTACCAGTTTTTTTGTACTTCTGGCATATTCAGCAAGTGAGTTCTGCAAATTTCCTTCAAAAGAAATATGTTCATCCACTTTGTTTTCATAAATCCAGAAATATTCTTGACTAAATAACAGCATATTTATTTATGACATCTAAGTGAATACTGAAGGTGTTTTACCTTACAGCACCTAAAAGTGAAATGAAAGTAATACAGAGACCACAGATTAAAGCCAAAGGTGCTAAAAACTTCATACTTTCTGATTGCAGTACAGATATCTTAAGAAGTGATGGTTCTTCTCATGTTTTGGAGAAGAAATTAATCTTATCCTTGGGTAAACTGGACAACTCATTAATGGATATCACAGAAATATAAATGCATATGATAAAGGGCAGATCTATATAAGGTTTCTTGTCACCTTACATTTGCTCATTCATGGTACTACTCCTGGTTTTTGCTCTGATGCTAAAAATCATAATGATCATCATAATGGCATATAATTAATAATATATATTTTTAAATCATATGTGAAAACCAAGAATTTGCACAATTATTTTCAGAGGCTGATTGTATAATTTGCTGTAAGTTTATCAAGCTAGTGCATAGAGAATGTCCTTTGTAAGCCTCCATAAAAGTAAGTACACATTTACTCCCATGTAACTAACTAATTAATTAAATCCCACTCACACCCCCACATCCAGCTATGACGTTTAATGAGGAACAGACATCCTCCTCTTCCTCTCTGCTTGAGAGAGATGCTGACATTCAGAGGGCAACAGCTGTAGGTGGGTTGTGTGGCTGCTTGGATCTGCCTGTCTTCACCAATGTCCCACACCAGCTGCATCCCTAAAAAAGGGTACCCCAGATTTTCTGGACAACACACAGTTTTGGAAGCAGGGTCACAAGGCTGTCACATGTGCTTAAGATTAAAAACAAAATTGCACAGCATAGCATAGCAGAGGAGAGGATTGCATAGCATAGCACTGCACAGCTCATCACTAAAAGTATTCTTCATGAATACATACTGCACATGTAATGTTTGTCCCCTCGTAAAATTTTAGCTTGAGCATCACATGGTACAAGGCATTGTTCTTTTTGTTTTGAAATATCTGCAGATTTATTTTTCTCTTCTGCCTGGAGTGGTTCCTCCACAGGTCCAACATTCCTTGTGTCCTGTTGTACCAAATAATGGAGGGGGAGATAAATTGAATATAAAGCACGAATAAGATAGCTCAGTCTGTCAAAATGGAGTATACTGCTTCACAGAACTTCCTTCAAAACATGTTTTTTAAAAGCTTTATCAAGCAATAATTGACAGAGCTGAGACCAAAACTGATTAGATGTTCTCTGCTTAGCCATACCTCTCAAAAAAAAAAAAAAAAAGTAGTGTCAGAGGTAAAGAATAACCTGAATAAATTAAAAAACCACCACCACCATTTTGGTGAGGTATTCTATTTGTAAGCACTGTAAGTGGGAGGCAAGAACTTGCAAATTCTGCATTTTAGGAATTACCACACCCAATGGACAACTCAAATGCTAATGAACTTATTTTCACTGGAAATGAGCAGGCTTTTGGATTTACCTCATATTAGCAAAGTACTTTTACTCTTGAAAATCCTTAAGTTCATTATTTAGACATTGATCAAGGAAGTAATTGCATAACTTTTTAACTTATGCACACAAGCAATCACGAGAAGATTTGCAGACCAATTCAGCAGTAAAAAAATATTTCAATGTTCTTATAGGGGAAATAATAAAGGGACAGTATGCATAGGCACACAATTATCTGAAACAATAACAATATAGCATTAGTAAAAGTAGTTCCACCTATTCCTGTTATTTTAAAATTTTATTTTCATATTTAATAATTTTTCTTCCATGGTGCCATATGACATAAAATATGGGAATGCCTCTGAATCATCACTTAAAGAAATTACTAAAAGTAATTCCCAAAATATGTGTAATTGTCAAAAGACTAAGCAACATATTTTCATGAGTCTTTGTTTGATGATATCATCATCTCAGCAAATAATTTGTAGTATGTTCATACATTGTGTTTCCAAATGTAAACAGGATGCTTTAGAAATGTCAAGATTTTAATGAAAAACAAAAGTTATTTAGACTTGAATACATCTTCATCAGTTGTTCTTTTCTGCTCCAGTTTTCTTTCTGCAATTGGTACTACACCAGCCAGCACCGAACAAGGATTTTTCCCCTGATTTTTGTTCTTAAAAAGTGAAAGTAAAAATTACAGAAAACTGTTATACAAAGAAATTTTACAATAAAAGGTTTATAAATTACTAGTATAATTGCATTTTGTGCCAGGAGAATGACAGAGAAGTAAAAGAATAAGTTTCTTTAATTTTGAAATAAGCACAAAATAAAGAAGGAAAAATTATGCAAGAGTTATAAAAAGATCTCTAGAAACTTATAAATAGAACACTTGAAAGTATGGCTTGTTTCAGGGCTATCACAGCTACTCACCAGATGTTCAATTAAACACTGTTAAGCAAATATTTTTAATCAATATTTATCTTTAACAAAAGCCAACATGAAATAAGCAATTAAATCTGTTCTCAGCAATTCAAGCAAAAACTAACTCTGCCAAAACCAATAGTTACTCTGCATTTAAAGTCATGCATATGAGATTAAAAATATGACATAACCACTGAGCTGTCATACAGGACTCAAAAATGTTCTAATATACTGAATTCCTGCAATTTCAATGTACTTTCTTTTCTCTATCTGAAAATACCTGATTCTTCTGTATTTCCATATCAGTCTTGAATAAGGCAATCCATATTTTTAAAACATCTGCCACTTTTCTGAGAAATCATTCAGTTACATTCATTATCTTATCTGAACAAAGTAAAAGAAAATCTTACCTTAGGTGAACAAGGTTCGCCATTATTTATCACAGTCTCTCCTAAACTGAACAAAAAAATATTAAGACAAATAAATGAAGTTACCCTAAAGTGGTGGTTCATCTTTTACTTGAAGAAATGCAAATGTTTTGATGGGTTTCAAATTTCTGTGGAAAGAATTGTACACTATGAAGGCCTGATCTAACTATTTGGGAATGTCTACAGCACAAAGGGCAGCCAACACATCACTCCTTTACTGCCTGGATTTAATAAACCACATTTCAATTGCACAGTAGATTTTATATATTACTACTTGAATCCTGAAGGAAAATTACAGCTTATCACCTCTACATGACACATCAAACATATATTTTCATTGTCATAAACTCTGACAGATTTTCTTATATGCTATTCTTGAGCATTTTTGTATATTTGGCATGAGTGTTCTGGGTTGCTTGAAAGAAAAACTAGTATCACTTGATGTTTTCAGATTTTTACCAAGTTTTTTTATCATTAAAATGAAAGAGTCTGTACTGCTGTGGTGATAGTGCACTAGAACAGGATGTGGAGGCAGTTTTGGAATATGTCATCAAAGTAATTTCAAAATAGAGAACTGAATAAACATTATTTTAAATTAATACTTCGTATTGCATAGAAAATCTTTTACCAGGAGAATAACAGCAGTATGTTGGTTTCACCGGTAGCCCACCCATTGTAACACAGGTACTGAGACTGTCATTCAGTACAATGATTTTTATCTCTGAAAAAAGTCAAAGTACAAGAGAATGGCATGAAAAAGAAGAAAATTAAATGTAGTCCACAGAAGCTTAATTAAAACTATGGGGCACTTACAGATTTCATTCAATTCCACTACTTTTGTATCTTAAAACTGGATCTGACAGTCTAAGAGGAAAAAAAAGTTCACAAAGGTCAAACATACTTAGAGAATTTAGACACATTAGAGAATTTAAATTGTTTGTGATCTGGCTGAATAAATGAAACCTCAGCTTCCAATGTACCACTGGGAAATACACTGTCTAAAGGATCTTTAAAATACAGTGTTAACCTGCATGTTACACTGGAAGAAAATGTTCCAAATTTGGCTTGATAATGTGATTAATCTCCACCTCTATCTAAAGCTGGAATACACTGGAAATAGTTTTTGCTACTAAGACTAGTTGGGAGCAACCAATATTTGTTGGGAGTGGGAATTAATACACTTTTTAATCCAATGTTTTCTTTGAAAATTAATACCTTAATGGCACTAAGAACCTGTAACTAAGAGGAGTATATTGAAATGCCTGTGAAATTCTGAACAACTTTGGCTCTTCTGTATTTCCCAAAATTATTTTTTTTTCTAAAGTACCACATGGTACATAATAGTTTTCCAATATGAGAATTACTAGGGTTTAATTAGTGCATCACTTGATGCTCTCTCCAGAAGATGCAGGTTGTGATCATTAGTTCAGTCTAAGGAAAAATGTGAAAAGATTTCCATGGCTCTCTATATATCACATTAAGGGCAAACTAACAGTTTTTCTTCTTCTTTCTATGTACATCAATAGGTAGAGTGACAAATTTCAGGCAGGAATAGTTAAAATAGTCAGAACATTATCTTCTCCCATGCAGTTGCCTACACAGCTTGAAGAAAAACTATGGAGCATCAGCAGATTAATCCTCCACTGGAATAAGAAGCAAAGAAAAATGCATTTCTGCAGCAGCACAGCTATGCTCCAGCCTTCAAATAAGACTTGTAATAAATTCAGAATACATCCCACAAAGTTTTAAAAGCTGATCTTATCCTTCACTGGAATATCAGTGTCCAGCCCAAAGTAAAATTTATGAAACTTCTTTCAAACCAACTGTCAGAGCAGGACCTTCCATTCTGTAACTACTTAAGATCAGGTTTCCTGCTGCCCCAGAATAATCATACACTTCTGAATTACATGGCACTCAGCTTGTCACCTTCTTGTCCCACAGTCTGAAAAATGTGAGGTTACTCATGAAGAGAAATTATCCAATAACCACAAAGAAGGACTATGAAGACTTAATAAAAAAGTAAACAAGATAGAAATATATATAAACACTGAGGAATTTCTGAATCTCAATAGGTATCTTAAGGTGAAACTGCAAGTTGTGCTGTATTACATGAAAATTTTCAGCAAATCTAAGGAAGCTCAAAATCTGTCAGTGGCATGAGTTGACCATGACCTTCAATCTCGTAGGTTGAAGTGATGTGACACGGGCCCAAATTCTGTCATTTCCCAGCTCTGTCTCAGTTCTGATTGGGTGACTCAGTTCTCCATCCTGATAAAGCCTTCTACTGCATCCTAAAAGAAACAGTGCATTTTATCAGGCAAACTGGGAATTTAAATGTGTGGGGGGGTTGAAAAGCCCACAGTGGTAAATTGACAACCACTTTTCCCCCTTCTGCAACAAAAAAGAACAGATGGGGCAAAGAAATGGTGAAATTTGGGTTGATTTTCTGAAGCAGAGTTGAAAGACTTCCATTTTAGGGTGATCTTCTAAATGGCAGTAACTGGGATACTATAAATATTAAACACATTTGGCAACCTGCCCACCACTGGTCTTGACCGTAAAATGGTAACAGCAACACCCACTTCCCAAACTGTGCTACAAATATGAGGGAGGGGTCTGTGGAGAAAAGTATTTTACAAATGCGGAGTACTATTTTTTTTACCTTCCTAGTCAAAGACATAGAACAGCTGTACACTGGGAAAAAAAAAAAAAAAAAAAAAAAAAAAAAAAA